AAGTCAATGGTCTTTCTGTCCAAAGATCTAATTCACAAGCCAGACTGTGAATTTTCAGTTATGACTTAAAAAGCTCAAGGGGCAAGTCACAGGGCGTCTCTGCCAAGGCCAAGTTCAAAATGCCTGAAGACAATTATTCATGTCCCAGAACACCACTTCACTCATTAGGCCATCAAATACCTATCATAGATCATATCAGATATCATATGTGCATGTATGTATTTATGTACATATACATATATCAGATACAAATAATCCACTATTGGTGCTATGACAATTGCTTTATGAACAATGTATTTCCCAATGAGGCAAGAAGTCTTGCCTCGTTGTAGTCACTGTTCTATTTTAGGCAAGACAATATGCATTTCCTTGTTTTAGTCAAATAAAATAAATATCTAATTATCATAGGATCAACTCGCTCAATACTTATTACATAAGGTTGCATTCTCTAATTCAAAGAATGCTGTCTCAGCAGTCAGACTGGCTGGGCCACCATTCTTTGCCTTAAAGCCATTTCCGTTCTCTCTTTGTCTCACCCAGTAAAATGAGGGTGTTCTCCTAGCACACAGGTTCCAGAACCCAAGGATTCTACCTTGGAATCCACTAGGAAGTTATGTTAAAAATGCAAACTCTCTGAATCTCTGCCTCACACAGGACCCTGAGACCTCTCTAGTGCTGCTAACATCCCATGACTTGCTGAAATACAGCTGAGGACATGAACGAGAACCACTTCCCTATTAAGAATGAGTTTCCAAATTTCAATTCCCTTTTGAGTTAGTGCAGAGGAGGGGTAACTCAATGCTTGACAGAGAAGTTGGCTTAACACCGAGAAGCACACACACAGGCTCCCCAGGCTGCTAAGAACTTTCTAAATAGGTGCTCCAAGCTGACCAGTCGATAGAGGAGTTTGAGCGGACAGGCAAATGACTGTCTAAATCAGCGTATTCTTTACTGGGTCCGTACACTCTCTACAAACATATGTAACATATGTGTGGGCACAGGGTTCTGTGCTATTTCGCTACAGGGAAGGTGCGTTGCCTTCATGCAGTTAAGAGCCCCGGTTCTGAAGACGGCGCTGACGTGACTCCCAGTCAGGCTGGTCAACCGTGCTGAGGGACATGAGGACGACAAAGACACAGCCCCTCCTGCAGAGAGGGGTGGTGGGGAGGAAGCAGCACAGAAATAAGTCCATCCCAAGGCAGAAGAAGGAAAGCACCTCCAGAGTGTTAGCGAGGGGTTTGGGGGTTCAGGGGAAGAACGTCTCCTTCCTGCTCAAGCAATGCGGGAGAGCCGCCAGTTAAGCTGGGCCTGGAGGGAGGGGAAGAATGGTTTTTATAAATATATAGAAATGAAGATGGTGGGCAGAGCGAGCAGCATCCGAGAGGGATCAGCAGAAAGGGAAGGCCTCCCTTGGACTTACCCAAAAGTCGTTCTTTGATATTTATTACTACAGCGAACACGCCTTCAGTTACTCAGAGTTGGGCTAAGGTCCCAGCTTAAACCCGGACAGCTGATAAATGACAACGGTTTCTTCGCCAACACGGAAACCCAGAAGGGAACCGATGGGCCTGAGGTCTCCTACCCCACCGTGAGCAGACACGGACACTGCGGACATCATGGTCCATAGCTGTCATATGACACTGAGGTACTGAATCTCGAAGGTCTCTGCACATACCCTTGGGAGCTTCAAAGTTCTTCTGCAGTGTGAAAGGTCCAGACAACGGAGAAACAAAATATTAAGGAAAGGTAGGTCACTTCATGTGCCAGGGCCCTGAAGATTGCCGAATGGCCCTATCCTCTAACGACCCCTGGGCTCGAAGAAGCTTCATCCTGCAAAACTACACAAGATGGATGAGACAGGGGGCAGGAGAAGGAACCATGTGGCCAAACCCTGGGACCATAAAGGCCTCCAGTAATCTCTAGGCGAGGCGCTCTGTACAATCTGAGGACCAGTGTCTGGAAGTCGCTCCCCACACTGCCTCAACTCAGGTCGTGCAGCATGGCCAGAGAGCACAGAAATGGAGAAAACCCACTTAAAAAGGGTAAGAGAGTTTCACCATCCCCCCAATAAATGAAGAAATGGTTTAAGGTATCCTGCAATGCCTTGTAATTAGTACAGATGCAGGGCATTATATCTGGGTGTAGTAAATGCATTAATTTCCTAAAGGACAAACAATTTTCATCTACCTGTTTTGAGATTCTTCCTTTTTCTGATACATGGCAAGCCTCAAAAAAGAAAGCGGCCCAAGCCTCCCTTGGGTCGTGAGCTTATTCCAGGTGTCCGGTTAAAGGGGCACGAGAGCCCGAGTAGGGTGGCGGCCCGGGGTCAAGAATGATTCTGCAGTTTCTGGGGCAGGATCACTGGGAGGACGATGGTGTTATTAATAGAGGAGGAAGTCAGGGGACGGAGTGCCATGAACGACAGGATGAGTTCTGTGTTGGGTGTGAAGGACTCTTAGGAATTCTTTGTGTCTGTGCGGCTTAAGTGAGCCAAAGTAACACCACTGACAACCCGACAACGCTGATCCTGAGTAGGAGGAGAGGACAGTGAAGGGTCTCTGCCGGGGACCATGGACTTGCAAACCATGAAGAACCTACGCAGTGCTCAGGGATGCCAGGAACTGCCTTAGATAACGGAGTCATCTGCCGCAGAGCTCCTTGAACGCGCCCCCCTCCCCGCCCCGGACCCCAAGCTTAGCACACAGCAGGTGTGAGACACGCATCACTGACGCCCTACAAGGAGACCTCTGCAGAGCACAGGTAGCAGGTGGGGACCTCACGCTGTGACCAGATTCAGAGAGCTTTCAGTCTGTGCCCCCCATCTGTGCCCCGCAGCATGCACGCCTGCCAATAACAACAACAACAACAGAGTAGGGACTAGAACCCATAGAACCAGAGTGACCAAGGCTAAAAGGGAACTTTGGGATCATCCCAGCCAGTCTGCTGTTTCTTCAGGTGAAGAATCCACGGTGCACAGAGGCGGAAGCACGCACGCACCCCTAGCAGCTGACGCAGATCTGGCATCGAGCTCTCCTGACTACTTCCTGCCACCGGGGAGCATATGGAGACTCGGGCTCCCTTTCCTCACCTTGGGGGGCACAGCGCATCCCCTGCAGGAGTACGAACGTGCATACACATGTACTTAGGGCAGGCGGCACTCTGCGCTAACCGCTGCGTGACACGGGAGCCTGAGGGTGGGGACAGAGAACATAGGGCGTGCGTTCTCTGAGCGTGTTTTTACATGAGTTCCTTTTAACAGTGATTCACGTTACTAATTCTATTAGTCAACTCACCACTTTTAAGAGAAATGATATCTGTACATATTCTTCTTTATAGAAATCAAAGGGTTTACTAAATCTGAAATCAAATCTGAAATCAAAGGGTTTACTAAAAAAAAAAGGCATGGAAAGTAAGATCAGATGTTCATGCTGGAATAAAGTATACATTTTGTGTGTTTTGAGCAGGAAAAAAAAAAATAGAAGCCCTCACAGCTCACTACTCATTTTTGCAACACACTTACAAGAAGAAAGCTTAATAACATATAAAGTGTAAACCATAAAAATCTCAAGAATGAGAAATGAAATTTCAAAAAGAGCACTGTCTGGCTCAGCCACTTCAGCATTACGAAATGCCTTCTTATAGTTAGAATTTATGGGAGAAAGAAATAGACAAACCAGATTATATTAAGAAAAAAATAAAGAATAATGCTACAAAGCTCACGTTAACATAGGTTTTTAGTTTGCTTCAAATAATAATTTGGGAAGGAATTGAGGCAAAAAGGCCCTTCTGCTCACATAAAATGTTAGTTGAAGAACAGTTAGTCATCAAATTTCCTTAATATCAATCTTAATTTTCCAGGGAAAATCCCTACAAAGAGTAAATGTTAAAGAATAAGGTAAGTCTGGAGAGATGATTGAATGGGGATCAGATCCTTATTCTGATATATGTTTAACAATTTCAAGTAGTCTGTCTAGAAATTCATTAATCTGAACTGGAAACCTCAGTTTTGCTATGGGAAGATATGTACATATCTCCAAAGCTATAAGAACTTCCATATATTGCTAGCAAGAGTAATTACTAGAACAAGACCACATGAAAAGCAATTTAACAGTATCTGTCAAAATCACAAATGTATACAAGATCCTCTGACTCAAAAATTCTATTTCTGGAAATGGATCTTATAAACAAACTTGCACACATACAAGGTTATTTTCAGCAGCAAGATCTGTCATCTATCAGAAGACTAGAAACAGCCCAAATGCCCATCACTAGGACATCTGTTAAGTAAGTCATGCTACAGCTATGCAGTGGAATGCCAAGTATCTGCAGAATTGAACGGTGAAGTCTTCTATGTTTTGTATGAAAAGATCTCCAAAATATTAAGTAAAAAATTCAAGGAACAAAAGAATATGCATTACATTCCACCTTTTGTATTAAAATGGAAGCAGGGAAAAATAGTAATCTATTTATATATTTTATATTTGTTTCTAAAGAGATTTTTTTTTTTAGAGCTAAAGAAATTCAAGAGATTTTGGAAGGAGGTACACAGACCGGGGAGGTGAACAGTGAGACAAGGGGGAGGGATTTCACTGTATGGCTTTTTATTTCCTTTAAGCTTTGAACCCCATGAATACATTGCCTAGTCAATCAATGAATTTTCAAACACCAAAAGCTATCTCCTTAATGCTCAAAACATTTCATGAATAAGGTATTTCCTTAAAACAAAGAAAGAGATTTCAGCATATCCTCAAACAAAATTGACCTTTTGAATCCTTAAGCAAAATATGAAATTAAATGGCTCATCCTTACTTCTTTCAAAATAGTATTTTTATATGTCTTGCATAAGTGTAACGCTTTTAGTACTTTGGCCTAAAAAATAACCCCATTTCAATGTTTTCAAGTTAAATCTCAACTTGGTCACTGACATGAAAACCAGCCAAATTCCAGCCATGCAGGTACTTCTCAGAGCTTTCCTATCTCACCACCAGAAACACCCATACCTTTGGCAGAATGGTTCTTTCTCCCATGAGGGATTCGGTGAAGGCAAAGAATATATCCGTCTTCTGTCTCGATGAAGTGTTCCTCACTAGGGTATCCCCAGTGAGCGATAATTTCACTCTACAGAGAAAAAGAATATGGGAAACTCTATGGATAGAATCGGACAAGATCTCCCACGTTAGCAGGCAAAGGAGAAGACAAAATGTCAGCAGACATTCTCCAGGCTTTGAGAAAACAGTTGTTATTGAAATTTTAGTGTGCTCAATCAAGCTCAATCTACTTGTTTTATCCATCTCTTCCGCTCCCTGGTGTCTGATTAACCTTGGTTTCAACATTCTAGCCTGTTCTACACCAAATGTGTCTAATTTCACCACTGCTTTGGGCCCCTCTGTTTCCATCCTGGCTCCACAAATAAACACACTTCTTTCTTTCTTTCTTTTCTAAATATGCCAGCTAATATTGTGATCTACCACTATCCTCATTTTAAGAGGTCCTGTCCTAGGGAACAGAGCATAGCATTAATCCGTTTTCATCAATGAACTGATAAACTTATGCTAACAAAGGACACTAAGAGACGAGAAATGGAAATTATGATCAAAATCACACTTCTCCAATCCATGGAGCAGGTGTTAATCAGGCACCCAGCTCCTCACTGGGCGTGGAACCTGCTGAAGATTCTCTCTCTCCCTCTCCCTCTGCTCCTCCCCACCATGCTCACTCTCTCTCTAAAAAAAATAAACAAATAAATAATAATAATAATAATAATAATAAATAGAGTAGTTCTTTTCTTTAGTCATTTGTATTTTCCCAATATTTTATGCCTAAATGAGGTATTTCCAGGTTTTATTGTTTACTTATGATTAATAACTTTGAAATGTGTCAGTTACTCTACAAATTGTATTTGCTTATTTGTTCCAACAAAGGTTTTTTTCAGATATTTTGGTTTTTGTATTGAACTGTGTTCCCTGGACAGTGCTAATCACACTCCTTGTTCAACGTATTATAAAAGCAGCATTTGGGGGGACGCCTGGGTGGCTCAGTCGTTAAGTGTCTGCCTTTGGCTCAGGTCATGGTCCCAGGGTCCTGGGATCGAGCCCCGCATCAGGCTCCCTGCTCAGCGGGAAGCCTGCTTCTCCCTCTCCCACTGCCCCCGCTTGTGTTCCCTCTCTCGCTGTGTCTCTCTCTCTGTCAAATAAATAAATAAAATCTTAAAAAAAAAAAAAAGCAGCAGTTGGTAGTAACATTCTTGCAAAGGTTTGATACATTTTTATCATTCTTTCAACAAATTCAGTGGGACTTACAAATGAAATGAATTTATAAAAATTTCATTTATGCCATTAAGAAGTATGTAGTTTTAACAGTTAAATGCAGTTCATAAAATACACATTACCTGATGGGAAAGTCGGCAAACCGAATCTAAGATTCAGACAACATGAAAAGCATAATGATATATAAAGAGATTGGTTTGTGACTTCACGTAGCCCACATAATGGAATTGCAGAAAATACCTGACATTTGTCACAGATGCATTTTAAAAGCATCCTTGAGACTTTGAGAAACTTACCACATTCATATTTGTTTCAGGATCCACACCTGCCAGCTTGCTTTCGAACGCCTCGGAAGGCAGGGTCCCAAGGACCAAACAGACCACCAATCCCAGGAGCTGCATTTTCATTCTGTATAAAATAGTCTATTGTTATTTGTCTGAATTTCACCACACAGATTATGTTGGTAGATTAATGCTCCCATAAAAAGTTCTGAAAACAAAAACAAAACATAGGGATTATTTTTTTACTAGGAAACTCCCCCTCCCCCCCTTTGCCACCACCAGTTAACATGTGACCTTTGGAGCCCAGCACACCCACTCACCACCTCACCATGAGTTTAAACAAAGTGTTCTGGAGAAAAAACAGAGGAGAGAACTTAGAAGACAATAGGCTGGAAAAAAAAAGAGGGTCCACAAAGTTCCAGAGCCTGTAAGCCTCCCACCTTTTTCCTTCGAATTGCGATATAAACATTTTTAAGTTCTCATGTTTAAGTTCAGTATTAGTTCTTGCCTCCCACTGTCTATTTCTGTTCTTGTCCAAAATTACATGTCAGGATTCAAATTTGTCACCCAAATATTATGCTAAGTGAAATAAGCCAGACTGAGAAAGACAAAGACCATATGATTCCACATGTTTGTGCAATCTAAAAAATGAATAACAAACAAAAAGCAGAAATAAAGCCATAAATACAGAGAACTGATGGTTGCCAGAGGGAAGTGGGTGGGGGGATGGGCAAAATGGGTGAAGGGGAGTGGGAGGTTCAGGCTTCCAGTTATGGGATGAGTAGGTCATGGGGATGAAAGGCACAGCAGAGGGGCTCTAGTCAACGGTATAGAACAGAGTTACGTGGTGACAGACTGTAGCAGCATAACATACAAAGATGTTGAACCACTATGTCGTACACTTGAAACTAATGTAACATTGTGTCAACTAAACTTTAGTGAAAAAAGAAGAGTAATAAATTTTTAAAAATAAATAAAATAAGTATGTCATCCAAGGAAAAGAGTGAAATGAAAGAGAGGCTGAAAGAGAAACAGGATAGAAGACCATCCGTTTCCCCTTCTCAGACCCTCCAACCACCAACAAAGATGATCTAGTTTCCACCAGTGATGGTGCAAAATCACAGCACAGCGAAGACCTTGGGGCTGAGTGTTAAAGGCAAAGTGAAGTGAGTCTCCTAAGGAACCTGGATGGTTAGAGGCAAAACTGGAACTACAGCCCAGGCATCCTGCATTTTTAAAAAATATAATCATTTAAAAAAAGATGCATGCATAATATATCCATACAAAGACTTGCATAAAGGGGCGCCTGGGTGGCTCAGTTGTTAAGCATCCACCTTCGGCTCAGGACATGATGCCAGGGTCCTGGGATCGAGCCCCGCATCAGGTTCCCCGCTCTGCGGGAAGCCTGCTTCTCCCTCTCCCACTCCCCCTGCTTGTGTTCCCTCTTTCGGTGTCTCTCTGTCAAATAAATAAACAAAATCTTTAAAATTAAAAAAAAAATAAAAAAAGACTTGTAAAAATGTTTATAACAGCTTTGTGTGTAATAAACAAAAACTAGAAAAACCCAAATACCCCAAATGGGTGAATGGATGGAGATATATATATGCATATACATATATATATAATATGTACATGATATATACATACTATTTAGCAATAAAAAGGAATGAACACACAATAACATGAATGAATCTCAAAATAATTATGGTGTATGAAAGCCAGACCAAAAAAAAAAAAAAAAAGAATACATATGATTCCATTTACATAGTACTATGGAAAATGCAACCTAATCTCTATCGACAGAAAGCAGATCTCGAGCTGCCTAAGGAAAAGGGCAGGAGGAAAGGATTGCAAGGGGGTATGCACAAGGAATCTTTTGAGGGTGATGGACAGGTTCACTATATTGAATTTACCGATGGTTTCATGGGAGTATACATAGGTCAAAACTTATAAAATTGTTCATTTAAAATACGTCTTGTTATTGTATGTCAATACAATACGGCTTTTTTTAAGACTTAGGCTTAACTGAGTATTCCACAAATCTTAAAAGATTGGTTCTCAGGAGATTACCGTAGTGAATTCTGCCAATGCAAGTCCTATTGATGCTGCAGTTACTTCTCCAGCAGTGATGAACCCTGAACATCTAGAGAGAAAGGAATGCAGCCTGGAGCCTGCACTGGCAAAGCAAGCTCATTTGGCGTTTACTCACAACTTATTTCTTTATGGTGGTTGGGAAGAGCTGTATACTCCCAAGCCACCTTTTATCATAATCCCTACCTCCCCGAAGTCCATTTTTACTAGAGAACAGGGAAGAGATTGAAAAGGAAAAAGAAAGGTCATGCCCACAATTTAAAACAAAGAATCTTCTGGCAGCAGATGCTTTCCACTCGGTACCGACCCCACAGAACCGGGACCAGCTGTCCACGGAGACGCTCCAAGAGGGTAGCAGCTGAAGATCCTCAACTGCATATGTCACCCTGTTCATGTTTCCTTCCAACACAACATTAAGCAAGTTTTTCAACCAACTAGTCAAGTGATTCTTGGAAGGATGATGACTGAGAAGTTTAAACGGAGAAAAAGCCCCCTTCCAGGCTGGATTCTGTGTTTTTCTGGGCTCTCTTAGCAACCTCTATCTCCGTTCTCTCTACATTGTAACAATGCAAGTACGTGCTCTTCTGTCCTCATTTCGCCCAAGCCGGAAGGCAGGGCAGGCGTCTGACTCAACTTTGAACCCTTAGGATCTATAGAGTTGCCCTGCACCTATGAGATGCACAGTACAGATTTTGAAAAATGAGATACGGGTCGATCCAAAAGTTCAGTGGCTGAAGAAAAGAAAAGCCCCAAAGCAGCCTCCCATTTTGCTTCCTACTAATGACAAGGTCAACACCATGAACAATAATCTCGCTCCCATTAAACTCCCGCTACGCTCCAGACACGCCAGTAGTGCTTCCGACCTATGTTAACTACTCCTCCAGCACATCAGTACGGTCCCGTTATATCCTTGTTTCAGGAAGCTGAGCTTCGACCTAGGTCAAGTACGGGAAGCAAAGTGCCAACCGGTTAAAGGGGAGCTTAACCAGGGGAAGGGAGTAGCTGGGAATCAGGAATCCCGGTTGCCACCGCAATCCGAGGGCTCTGGGCGGCTTTGCTGATCGGCGACCACTCCCGTGCAGGAAACTGGAGGGCTCCCACGGAAGCGGGGGCAACTTCGGAGACCCCGCGAAACCTGGACCACGCCGCCCGCAGAGGAGGCGCCCTCAGGTGCTCCAGGCGGGATGCGCAACGAGCCAAGCGCAGGGGGTCCCGCCAGCCTGCAGAGGCTCGGGCGTGAGGCGGGGGGGGCGGGGGGGGGGGGGGGGGCGGCGCGCGGAGGCCCGAGCTGCAGCACCCGTACCCGGCGGCGCAGCCCGGCGGTACTCACCCGCACCGGTCCTCCCAGGACGCTGTCCAGAGCCTCAGTACCCGCTCGTGGAACTGGGCACCTGGCGGGGCGGGGACCGCGGGACACGAGGGCAGGTTCCCCTCCAGGCTCAGGCTACGCGCGCAGCCAATCAGAGCGGCGGGCTGCCGGGAAGTGCCGCCGAGACCCCGCCCCACCCAGCGCCGCCACGGAGCATGCGCCATGGGCGGGCCCCGGCAGGGCGGAGCCTCCCAGCCCGGGCTGATCCCCAGCTGCACCTGCAGGCGAGGCTGAGGCTTTCTGCCGCCAGGTCCGCACCCTCTGCACCTGGCATAGAGCTGTGGGCTCTGTAAGTGCAAAGAAATTGTATGTTCCGTATAAAGCGCTTAGCATTGTGGCTGATGCAAAGCAATCTTGCTGTACATTTTATTTTTATTTCTAAAATGCCCAGTATTAAGAGACTAGGGGTATAGCAGCCAACCAAACAAGGCCCCTGTTCTGCTTACATTCCAACAGGAACAGACACACCGTGAATAAATATATAACATAAAGTAGTAGAAAGTGCTGTGAAGAACAATAAAACAGTAAAGGGACAAAGAAGGAGGATGTCGTGTTACGTGTAAGGTAATCAGAAAAGGACTCTGATGAAGTGAGAACTGAACACAAACAGGAAGCTCACTGAGAACCGTGTGGATACTAGAGAAAGACCATTCTGGGGGTGAGAGAATAGCATGTGCAAAGACCCTGAGGCAGGAATATTCTGGTGGGTTCTAGGAAAAGTACTGAGGTCCGTGTCACTGGACCAGAATGTGATGGTGGAGAGTGGTAGAACATGAAGTCCTAGAGGTACTTGGGTGCCTTGGAGGGGCAATTGTAAAGACTTTGCTTTTTCTTCTAACCAAGATAAGAAGCCAGTGGAAGGTTTCAATAGAAAGGCAACATACTCTGGTTTACAATTTAGAAAGATCACTCTGACTGCTAGGGTCAGCTAGGGAAGCAGGGAGACAAGTTGGAAGTCTACTGCAATAGTCCAGGCGAGAGTTAATGATGCTTGGACTGGGGTGGTGAGAGCAGTGGAGGTGGAGACAAATACTCGAATTCAAATGAAGAAAGCACCAAGAGGAGCAGCTTGGGAGGGAAATCAAGAGTTGGTTTTAGATGTGTTGATTTTGAGACACTCTTTAGAGAACTCTCTCAGCTAAGGCCCTGTCAGCAGACAGAACCCACTCTAGGTATTCCAAACAGAGCAAATGGTTACACTGGTGGCGGAACTGTCGGGAAGCCAAACAGGGTTTAGGCAAGCCCCGCAGAGACCAGCAATGGCAGGAAGGGCTGAGGTGGTGTTGGGGAAGACAGTGTCACCAGAGACCAGAGGTGGTTGTGTTGAACAGCAACCTCTACCAGAGACACTTCCAAGGTCAAGAGAGGAGGGTTCGACATGCTGTGGCCTTTCCTGCCTCCTGCCCTCCAGTTTCCCACCAGTGCCTCCTCTGGGTCAAATGCAACCTGACGCTGGCTGACAGAGGACCCTAAGAAACGCAGGCTACAGGGCTCAGACCCCTCCACCCTCCACGACACAGAGCAGAGGGTGGGCAGGGAATGGATCTAGAGACAAAATGGCAAAGGTCAGCACTGGCACGTACACATCTAGTGTTCAAAGTGAAATCCCAGGCTGGCAATAGAGACAGAGTTTAAAGCCCCGAGACTGGATGAGGTCTTCCAGAGAGAAAGCGTAAGCAACAAAGAACACACACAGAGGAAACTAAATGAAGTGAGCCCTGCAGTTGACCCAGATAACAGCCTGGGGAGAATTTCCAGGCTGCAGTTCAGGGAGAGGGGAACTTAGGTAAAAATCCAGCAGTTTCGGGGCACCTGGGTGGCTCAGTTGGTTGGGTGTCTGCCTTTGGCTCAGGTCATGATCCCGGGGTCCTGGGATCGAGCCCCACGTCAGGCTCCCTGCTCAGCTGGGAGTTTGCTTCTCCCTCTCTCTGTCCCTTCCCCCTGCTCATGCTCTCTCTCTCAAATGAATCAATAAAATCTTTTTTTTTTTTAATCCAGCAGTTTCTCTGAGTGGACTCAGACGAGAATTCAAGAAGTCTAAGGCAATTGAGTTTGTAGGGCAGAGTAACGAGTTGGAGAGAGTTGCAGAGAGAGAGAGAAAGCAAGAGCTCTGGGGGTCTACCAAGCGTTCCCCTCAAGTCTTGCACTGAGAACTAACTGGAGTTTGCCTATGAAAAAACTACACTAGACCAGGGGGCGGAAAACAACTGAAAGGAACAAATGGGTAACTCCCCCAAGTTTACACAGTAAATTGGGAATAGTTCAGGTGACACTGGGCCAGAGTGGAAAAACCTTGTTACATAAAAGGCACTAGGTAGAAGACTAGCAAGGATATTATTGCCTCGGCATGAAGCAAAATTATCCCTAAGTAATATGACTACTCAAAAGTAAGAGTCCTGAAACAGATCCCCAGTTGATTTTCACAAGACAATATCGTGCGGAAAGAATAATCTTTTTAACAAATGGTGCTGGGACCATTGGATAGCTATATGCAAAGAGGTAAACTTCGACCTTACGCAAAAATTAACTCAAAATGGACCATAGACATGCATCTGAAAGCTAAAACTATAGGACTTTCTTGGGCGGGGGGAGAGTGGAAATAAGAGAAAATACTGGATTTGCCAAAAGGATTTCTTAAACAGAACATAAAAAGCACAACCCATGAAAGAAAAAACAATTAACAAACTGGACTTCTTCAAAATAAAAAAAAAATTTGTCCTTTAAAAAGCACTTTATAACCATAGTGAGATTCCACTTCATATCCACGAGGGTGACTATAATAAAACAAGACAGATATTAGCACACATGGGTGAGAATGTTGGGACACGCAGGAAACCCAGAAGCCGGGGTGACGTGAAATGGTGCAGCTACTTTGGATGACAGTCTGCAGTTCTTCAAAAAGCCAGCACCTCCCCTGCTGTGTATACAACCGAGAGAAATGAAAACTCATGTTCACATAAAACAACTCATATGCAAATGTTCATAGGATTATTATTCATAAGAGCTGAAAAGCGGAGCCAGCTCAATGTCGAGGAGTTGTTGAATGGATACATAAAATGCAATATATCTATACAATGGAATATTATTGCATAATTAAAGAAAAATGAAGTACTGATGCATGCTACAACACGTCTGAGCATTGAACACATGCTAAATGATAAAAGCCCCCCACAAAAAATTAAGGGAGATAATTCCACGTACATGAAATGTCCAGAAGAGGCAAGTCTATACGGACGTAGATTAGTGGTTGCCTGTGGATGGGGGCGGGAGTGGGGGGGGAGGTTGGGACAATGTGAGTTGCCAGCTAAAGGTTGTGGGTTACTTTTTGCCCCGACGAAAGTGTTCTAAAATTAATTGTGGTGTTCATTGCCAACGCTGTGGATAAACTGAAAGACATTTAATTGTACACTTCAAATGAGTGAATGATAAGGTATGTGAATTATACCTCAATGAGCTGTTCTTTTAGACCTCATAAAAGTGATAAGGTAGGGTGCCCGAGTGGCTCAGCTGGTTAAGCAACTGCCTTCGGCTCAGGTCATGGTCCCAGAGTCCCAGGATCGAGTCCCGCATCAGCCTTCCTGCTCAACAGGGAGTCTGCTTCTCCCTCTGACGTTTCCCTGTCTCGTGCTCTCTCTCTCTCTCTCAAATAAATAAATAAATAAAATCTTTAAAAAAAAAAAGTGGTAAGGTATACTCCTTGCAATTTAACAACAAGACTAAAATCCCTGTCAAAAAATGGGCAAAAGGTAGCAGATATGCTGATGGCAAATGAAAATAGGCTCACCGTCATTAGTCATCGGGGAAATGCTAACTAAAGCCACAATGAGATACCACTCTTCTACCCACCAGAGTGGCTAAAATTAAAAATTGTTGATGAGGGTGAGAAGTAGCTAGAAATCTCCTGCATTGCTGGTGGGAATGTAAAATGGTACAACTACTTTAGAAAGACATTTGAAACCTTCTTAGAAGGCTCTACTTGGCCTACCATCGAACCAGCTCTTCTACTCCTAAGTATTTACCCAAGAGAAATGAAAAGTATTTGTACACAAGTGACCATAGCAGCTTATTTGTAATAAGCAGAAACTGGAAACGACCCATATGCCCACCAACAGGTAAATGGATAAACAAATTTGTATCCCTATGGTGGAATATTACTCAGCTGTAAAAAAAAAAAAAATAATAATGAACTATTGATGCAAACAGCAACATGCATGGCTCTTAAAATAATCATGTTGAAAGAAAGAAGACAAAAACAGTACACACTGTATGATTTCCTTTGTAGAAAATGTAAATTAATCCAGATGAACAAAAAGGATATTACTGGTTGCTTGGGAAGGGATTTTTTTTTTTTTTTTTTGAGAAGAGAGGAATTTGGATTCCCAAGGGGCAGAGCAAACTTTTGAGTGAGTGGATATCTTTATTTTGATCATGGCAATGCTTTTACAGCTATAGATGTATATAAAAGCTCATCAAAATTTGTACTTTAAATATGCGAAACTTAATCTTCATCAGTTATACCTCAATAAACATTTTATTTTTTTTTCAAGATTTTATTTATTTATTTGCCAGAGAGAGAGAGCCCAAGCAGGGGGAGCAGCAGAGGAAGAGGGAGAAGCAGGCTTCCTCCTGAGCAAGGAGCCCTATGTGGGATTCGATCCCAGGACCCAGGACCCTGAGCTGAAGGCAGATGTTTAACCAACTGAGCCACCCAGGCGTCCCTCTCAATAAACCTTTAAAAAATACTAATAGCTTCCATTCACTGAGCTCGTGCCATATGCCAGATCCTAAGTAGTTTACATACACTATCTTATTGAATCATGAACCTCTCGACAGGGTTATTTTTCCTCTCCCGCAGATGAGGATATAAAGGCAGAAGTCATGAAAATAGCCATCAAACTCAAATAGCCTGATGCCAAAAGCCCAGTTCTTATTCACTATGTGAGAACTGTAACCCTTCCTCATTTCTCTCCTGAGCGCCAGGCACTCTCCTGGGTGTCACGGATCTAGAACTAATCAACACTGGCTACTGCCCTCATATGGTGGTGCAGAAGGCAAGGAGCTGGGGAACTGCAGCCT